AGGGATCCTATAGGATCCTTACAGGGTCCTGCGCGATTCCACAGGAACCTTAGAGGGATCCTATAGGATCCTTACAGGGTCCAACAGATTTCCATAGGAACCCTCGAGGGATCTTATAGGATCCTTGCAGGGCCCTGCACGATTCCATAGGAGTCCTATAAGGAGGAACCTATAGGATCCTTACATGGTCCTGCACGATTCCATAGGAACCGTAGAGGGATCCTATAGGATCCTTACAGGGTCCTGCACGATTCCATCGGAACCCTATAGGGATCCTATAGGATCCTTACAGGGCCTTGCACGATTCTATAGGAACCCTAGAGGGATCCCATAGGATCCTTACAGGGTCCTGCACGATTCCATAGGAACCTATAGGAGGGATCCTATAGGATCCTTACGGGGCCCTGCACGATTCTATAGGAACCCTGGAGGGATCCTATAGGATTCTTAAAGGGAGGAACCTGTAGGATCCTTACAGGGTCTTGCACGATTCCATCGGAACCTCAGAGGGATCCCATAGGATCCTTACAGAGTCCTGCACGTTTCCATAGGAACCCTAGAGGGATCCTATTGGATCCTTACAGGGTCCTGCACGATTCCATAGGAACCCTAGAGGGATCCTCTAGGATCCTGACAGGGCCCAACAGGTTCCCATTGGAACCTTATAGGGATCCTATAGGATCCTTACAGGGTCCTGCACGATTTTATGGGGAGCCTATAGGGATCCTATCGGATCCTTGCAGGGTCCTGTACGATTCCATAAGAACCCTAGAGGGATCCTATTGGATCCTTACAGGGTCCTGCACGATTCCATAGGAACCCTGGAGGGATCCTATAGGATCCTTACAGGGTCCTGCACGATTCTATAGAAACCTTATAGGGATCCTATCGGATCCTTACAGGGTCCTACAGGATTCCATCGGAACCTTCATAAGGGTCCCACAGATCCTCACAGGGCCCTGCAGGAGTCCATCGGCACCCTATAGGGATCTTATAGGATCCTTACAGGAGCCTGCACGTTTCCATAGGAACCCTATAGGGATCCCATAGGATCCTTACAGGGTCCTGCACGGCTCCGTAGGAATCCTATAGGGATCCTATAGGACCCTACAGGGTCCTGCACGATTCCATAGGAACCTTACAGGGTCCTGCACGATTCCATAGGAGTCCTATAGAGGAGGAACCTATAGGATCCTTACAGGGTCCTGCACGATTCCATAGGAACCCTAGAGGGATCCCATAGGATCCTTACAGGGTCTTGCACGATTCCATAGGAGTCCTATAAGGAGGAACCTATAGGATCCTTACAGGGTCCTGCACGATCCTATAGGATCCTTACAGGGTCCTGCACGATTCCATCGGAACCCTATAGGGATCCTATAGGATCCTTACAGGGCCTTGCACGATTCCATAGGAACCCTAGAGGGATCCCATAGGATCCTTACAGGGTCCTGCACGATTCCATAGGAACCTATAGGAGGGATCCTATAGGATCCTTACACGGTCCTGCACGTTTCCATAGGAACCCTAGAGGGATCCTATAGGATCCTTACAGGGTCCGGCACGATTCCATAGGAGTCCTATAAGGACCCTATAGGATCCTTACAGGGTCCTGCACGATTCCATAGGAGTCCTATGAGGAGGAGGAGGAGCTGGCCTCGCTGGCGCGTGGTCGGTTTTCGGACAGGAGTGCGTGGGGAACAGTAAGGGAGCCAACGGAGATTCGGAAACACATATAGATTTACGTTAGCGTATGACAGAGGTGTTGCGCGTTGCTCCCCCCCCCCGGGGCAACAACTGCAACGTGTGGCCTGGGGCAATGCGCTCGCCCCGGGGGCGAGGACACACCCACGGGCCCCGCCGGGGTGGCCTGAGAGAGTGTCCTTGCGTTGTTGTTGTTGTCGTCGTCGTCGTCGTCGTTGTTGTTGTTGTTGTTGTTGCTGAATTCTCTCACTCCCGAAGAATAATTATTGTTGATCCTCCCCCGCCTGGTGCACATTGATTTTTCTCGATTGAAGTGCCCTTCCTGGGGCTCGCACCTTGTTTTTTGTCAGGAAAAGTCTTGAGCGTCAAATTGTGTCGTTGGCCCCCAGGTTACAACAACAACGGCTCCCGCCTGAGACTTCCTCACAATTTAGCCAGGACCCCCGTTCCCGCCCGAGACCTCCTTGCATTTAATTCAGGAATCGCGCTCTCGCTTGGGACTTCTCTACAATTTATTCAGGAATCGCTCTCCCGGCGCTCTGGAGTCGCGCTCTTGCTGGAGACTTGCTTGCACTTTACTGAAGAATAGCGTTCTTGCGGTGGAAATTGTTCCAATTTGTTCAAGCGCCGCGCTCCCGACACCCAGGCACCCAGGAGTCGCGCTCACGTTTAGGATTCCCTCACAGATGACCTAAGAATCGGGATCTCGCTGCCCCTCGTGGCCCCGTTGAAGCCCTTCGTGGCCCGTTCGCTGCCCTTCGCGGCCCCGTTGCAGCCCCTCGTGGCCTCCTCGCTG